TAGTAAATTTGTCTCAAGTAAGAATGTCTCATGTAAAATATGTTTTAGTAAATTTGTCTCAAGTAAGAATGTCTCATGTAAAATATGTTTTAGTAAATTTGTCTCAAGTAAGAATGTCTCATGTAAAATATGTTTTAGTAAATTTGTCTCAAGTAAGACTGTCTCATATAAAATATAATTCAAGTTAAACAGTTTCATGTAAAGTATGATTTGAGTAAAAGTAAAATTATTTCAAGACAGATTCATGTAAAGAGTGTTTTGAATAAAAGTAAAAATGTTTCAAGACTGTTTCGTGTAAAATATGTTTTAGTATAATTGTTTCAAGTAAGACTGGTTCATGTAAATTTGTTTCAAGTTAAAATGTTTCATGTTAAATTATTTCAAGCAAAAATGTTTCAAGCAAGACTGATTCATGTAAAGTTTGTTTCAAATTAATTTGTTTCAAGTAAAAATGCCTCATATTAGATTGACTTATGTAAGACTGATTCATGTAAATTTATGTTCAAGTAAAAATGTTTCATGTTAGACTGATTCATGTAAATATGTTTCAAGTAAAAATGTTTCATGTTAAATTATTTCAAGCAAAAATGTTTCAAGCAAGACTGATTCATGTAAATTTGTTTCAAATTAATTTGTTTCAAGTAAAAATGCCTCATATTAGATTGACTTATGTAAGACTGATTCATGTAAATTTATGTTCAAGTAAAAATGTTTCATGTTAGACTGATTCATGTAAATATGTTTCAAGTAAAAATGTTTCATGTTAAATTATTTCAAGCAAAAATGTTTCAAGCAAGACTGATTCATGTAAAGTTTGTTTCAAGTAAGACTGGTTCATGTAAATTTGTTTCAAATTAATTTGTTTCAAGTAAAAATGCCTCATATTAGATTGACTTATGTAAGACTGATTCATGTAAATATGTTTCAAGTAAAATGTTTCATGTTAGACTGATTCATGTAAATATGTTTCAAGTAAAATGTTTCATGTTAGACCGATTTATGTTAGACTGATTCATGTAAATATGTTTCAAGTAAAAATGTTTCATGTTAGACCGATTCATGTAAATTTGTTTCAAGTAAAAATGTTTCATGTTAGATCGATTCATGTAAAGTTTGTCTCATGTTAGACTGATTTATGTAAAGTTTGTTTCAAGTAAGACTGACTCGCATAAAGTTTGTTTCAAGTAAGACTGATTCAAGACCAATAAGACTGATTCATGTAAAGTTTATTTCAAGTAAAATTGCCTCAAGAGTGTTACAAGTTAAATTGTTTCGGGTAAGACCGATTCAAGTAAAACTGTTACAAATAAAAATGTTTTAAGAAAGACTGATTCAAGCAAGGTCGTTTCAAATAATAATAATTCAAGTAAAACCGTTACAAATAAAAACGTTTTAAATAAAAATGTTCCGAGTAAAGTTTGTTTTGGGTGAGACTGATTTGGGCAAAATTGTTTCAAATAAAAATGTTACAAGGCGTTTATTTTTAGACATTAATGCGACCAAATAATTGAGTCAACAAATGCTTGATAAATAGTTCAATTACTAATAATAACACACAGTAAATATAAATTACAATATGAATTTTCCACATAAAGGAAGTTATGGTGTCAAAATTGTAAAATACAATAGCCTAAATAAGTTGGATTATAAAGAGCGTTTACACGTTGAGACACCTAATAGTGTCTACTGCGGAATAACGAGCGACACAGATTACGGTTTGTTAATTAGCAATACAACTTGTTTAGATACAGATGCTGAAATATCAATAAATGGCGAACGCGTTGGTGTTGTTAGAATCTACCCAAATTGCAAAAAAAAATGATTTGGACTTGTCCTTACTTCGAAAGAAATTTTAGATACTAGTACATGAGCGATTTTATGAATATTGAAAAAGACGGACTTGTTGAAGTAAGATTTGTGCCGGAAAGAATATCCGAAAAACCAGATTATTTGCCGCGACATTCTAAAATTGTTTTGGAAACTGATCAGGTGCTGTTTTTTTAGAAGGTAGATATATTGAAAATACTGATCACCAAAAGTTTGCAAAAGCGCCATATATGGAAAGAAACGAAAATTTAGCCACAAAAATAATTATAAGGTTGTTCCCTTTACCACCCGATGTGGAAATTTACAGTGATCCCGTACCACCTCCATTAAATAATTTAGAAATTGAAATGATATCGGCGCGTCATTATGGTGATTGCCGTTTTCGTAAACTTAATTTTATTTAGTAATTTTAATCTTTTTTTATGAATTATTATTGTTAAAATAGTTGCGGGTTTTATACTTTTTAGGATTTAAAACAAGATGAGACAAAAACCCCATTTATATCTAAATGGTTTACCCGTTACAGAAAAAATGTAAATTATGATTGTGTTATGCCCTTCCTGTAATGGGGTAAATTAAATCGCCACAGAACTTGCTGTTTTACGTAATTTTTGGTACCGGGTATTTTTTAATACATGAATATCCACAAGTATAATTGTTTCAAGTAGTAAGACTGACTTAAGTAGGACTGAATAATGTGAAGTTTGTTTCAAATAAAAATGTTGCAAGTGTAGTTGTTACAAGTAAGACCGATTCAAGTAAGACTGATTCGAGTAAGACTGGTTAGAAAGTTTGTTTTGAGTAAAATCACTATGAGACTATTTCAAGTAAAATCATTGCGGGACTTGTTTATTATTCTCCTTTTTAAAAACACAAATGAATCAATAAATTGCGTATTTATGTTGTATTATAGTTTTTTAACAATATTATTTTATTTGCAAATATTTGGAATACTCGGTATTGGATTAATTATTTAACAACAAAATTTATTGCTTGTTATTTCTTCTCACAAACTCTGTGTGAAGTCTATGGAGTTCTTTTTTATGTTTAGTTTTTTGTTCTTCGATTTTTATATTGTATACTACAGTTAAATCAACTATTTTTTTGTTTAAAATTTCGATTTTGTCTTGTAAGTCTCTTATTGTTGAATCTCTTTCTTCCAAAATTATAAGGAATTCGTCTTGTAAATTATTGCCTTTAATTCTATATTTATTATACTTTTTTTCTAGTCTATCTAAACTCTCCATAAGTCTTTCTTCTTCTTGAATGTCTCGAAATTGTTGCAATGGCGTGATATTTGTTTTAGGAATGTTCATACCGCACCTACTATTATTTACAATTATATATTTTTTATAAATGGTGGCATGTCAATATTAAATACAACCATATTTGAATAAAATAACAGACTATAATTACCTAATGAAAATAGCAAAGTTTTTTGCGATCGTGTTAATAGTTTTTGCCAATTATTCTATTGGAGGAGATCCTCCGATCGGAAATTCTGTTTTAGAAGGTTTAGTTCAAATTGGAATACCGGGCTTTCCAACAGACTCGACCAAATCAAATAAACTCCAAAGCTATAAACGCGATTTTGCAGTTCTTAACATAACCGAAAAAAACAGGTATGGTGAAAATGTTTTAAATAGGGTTACGGACGGAATTACCAAGGAATTTAACAACATTACTCAATATAATATTTATGCCGTAATTTACGGAAGCACGACAAAAGTTATAATTCTTATTAGAAAAAAAGATATTGATCGGCCAATAATTATGTATTATAAAACTAATGTTGATCCTTCACAAATTGTCAGACAAATTTGTCAATACGAAAAGGGAAGGACACGTAGTGTGTTTTTTAAAAAAAATATTCAATATATCAACGACCCATTAACACAATATAACAATATCCTTAATATTAATAATTTTCCGTTTTTAGATCTTTCGTTTAATAACAATACTATTATTGCCGATGTGCCGTCCGAATTAATAGAACTTTCGTTAACAATAAAAACCAAAAACTACATATCATCAGCATCACACGCCGATCTTCTTGAAACAGTTGATTATCTTACAATATTTTAATAAAAACAGCACCGTTACAATAATATAATACCTAAACAAAAAACACGAGTCAATAAATATTTATGGAGGAAAATCTTAAAAAATTGACAGATGACCATATTAAGGCAGAGTTAGATAGAAGAAAACAACAGGATTATGTCTATGATTTGACAAACGACAATAAATTACGTTTATATGAGTCGATTGCGAGCAAACAATTGCAGTTGTCGGGACAAGAATACGTTTCTTATCTTCGGGAAAATGAGTCGAATGGATTTATCGCTGAGCAAAATATATTCCATAATTGTCCATATGATTTACACAATGACAATGGCTTGTCAATGTTTGACGAAGATAAATACACCATTATTTACGGAGAAGAAACTAATAAAATAATTAGGGATAACTGCAATTATGAATTAATGAAATATGTTAACAAAACATATATAACACAAGGAATGTTAAATAGAGCTAACGGGAAAATATGGAATAATGGCCTGATTGCTTATAACAAAAATTCTATTATTGTAAGAGATAATGACAATGAATTTGGTCAACCTGGTTTTAGTAAATGTGTTGCATACTACGATAGGCTCGGAATTGAAATAATGGATAGATATATTATTCCAGATTTAATTAGCAGAATAAATAGGAATGAATTTAATTCAAAAACTTTGGCGTCAAATGTCCAAGATCTTATTACAAGCACATTTGATAAAATTTACACTAAAAAAGAAGAAATGACTAAAAAAGACGACATTACTGGTCTGAATGAACAGACAATGTTTAATGACGCACCCGCTAGAGAAGAACTAATTAAACCACCTAAACCCGAAAATGAAGACGCTAAAACACAAAACCCCGAAAAAATAGTGTCATCGCTTTGTGTTTTTTGTGATAAGCTTAATGTTCTTGCCGATAAACTTAACATGGTTGTCGACAGTTGTAGTTTATTGACAAAAATGATGGAGGAAATCTGTTTAGATATGAGTATATCCGTAAACAAACAAAACAAAAACAACGACATAAACAACGACATAAACAATTAGGTAAGTCGGATCAAACACAATAAAATAATCCGAATAATCGACCAACGTTGACCGGTCATATCATATATACGGCCTGTCGTGTTTTGGTGTTTTTTTGTTGGAAGTAATTTTTATTGTGAGATTAGGCAATGTCTTATTTTCAATTATCTCAACAATCGGTTTAACTTTTGTTGAGTATTCTATTAGAACATCGCCCGAATAGTGAATATTATCTGTCATTAGGTGTATTTTTACAAATTCCTTATTAGTTTTTTTTGGATAAGGCAAACCTTTTAAATAATAGTCCAATGCATTATCATAGTCATTTACAATAAATTTTATTGACGATTCGTCAATTTTAGACAAAGTCAGGTTAAACTCGTAAGGATTATTATTAGTGATATTACAAGTCTTGCAATATGTAAAATGATTAAGAACGGATTTTATTTTGTTCTTTTTTTGTTTGAGCCTTTTTAAAGACCTACGTAAATTATCACAAACAATTAACATTATCGGAATATTTGGGACAATTTTTACATCATCACTATCAGAGTCGATTTCAGAGCCAATTACAGAGTCGAATTTGGAGTCGATTTCAGTGTTGTCATCTAAATCCCCTGAATCAATATCACTATTACCGTTATTTGGTTTTTTTGTGCTTTTAACACTTTTTGAACTATTATTATCACTCTTGTTGCTAATAAAACCATCTTCACAATTACCAGAATCGTTGTCGCGATCATTGCTATTGCTGTTGCTACCACTATGTTTACTACCACAATCGCTATCGCTATCGCTATCGTTATCGCTGTTATTGCAATTACTGTTAGTGTTACTGTTATTTTTGCAACTACTATCAATACCGCTGTTATTGTAATAACCATCAATGTTGCTGTTATCGCAATTGCCAGTATCGCTATTACCATTATTGTTGTAATTACTGTCACTGTTACTATTACTGCCACTGTCACTGCCACTGTCACTATTACTGCCACTGTCACTGCCACTGTCACTATTACTGCCACTGTCACTATCACTATTACTGTTACTGTCACTGTCATTGTTGTTGAAATTACTATCACAATCGCCAATTCTTACATAACTATCATTGTCATTGCTAATATCACTATCACTATCGGTGTCGATTTCTTCCGAACTAACCAATTTAGTTTTTTTTGACATTTGTGGTTTTTTATTAATATAGAGTTGTGCATCGAATTTACCATTTATTTTAACGATTTTTTTTAAAATTGCCAACCCTAGTTGAGAATAAGGGATCTTTACAAATATGCCATCGCCTTTTAATAATTGTGACGAAAATTTAGTTGCTGATTGTATCGGAGTGCTTGCCGAACTAATGACATTGTTTAAATCCCCCATTTTACATTTATTATGTAAAACACTAATTACGGACAATTCCGTTATAAATCTGTTAAGATTTCTGTCGTCATAAACACGAACGTTTGTTTTATTAAATTCCATATCTTCACAAACTTGTCCGATTGCCACAAATCCAGCACAGTTAGACACTGCGTCCTTAATATAGAAAAGAATCACATCATTTCTCTTAATATGTTTTCCAAAATAATTCCCAAGATAAAATACCCCTTTTTTTATATTCGCTTGTATTAATCCCCATTGCTCTTTTGTCACATTGTGTAACCAAAAACCACAACAACGTAATATTATTAGACCATTCTTTTTGTTTTCATAAACAATATCTGTTTTGTTTGACATTTATAATATATATCTGTTGTTTAATATGTGAAATGTTATTGAGATCTAATGTTCATATAAACAATTTTTTGTAAATTAGCCATGTTTTAAGATATTAATTTTTTTTTGGAAGCAAACACGTTTTTTTTCGGAATTTTATGCTGTTTTTCAATTTCAAGTAGCTTATTAAAAAGAGCTCTTGATTTTAATCTCCAGTTCATTTTGCATTGTACAACAGTGGGTTTTGTTAATTCGCTTCTTGATATCCAACCGATAGTTCTTGGAAAACCGTCATGGATTTCTTCATCGCCAAAATTTTCTTTTTTTAGTTTTTTTTCAGATATTGATGCTTCAATCAAATAGATCACATACTTCGATCTTGGGACATAAATATAAGGGGCTTTTTGAAGTCGTTTAATTACATTGGCTGATTTAATTTGTTTGTTCGTTTCCTCTTCAATTTCGCGAGCAACAGCATAAAACACGTCTTGATCATCATTGTCAATCTTACCACCAATATCTTCGTACACACCTCTGTTTTCAATAATAAGAAGCATAAGATTATCTTTCACCTTTTTATAGAAAATTGCGCCTCCGGCCGTTATAGGTTTTGCCTCGTCGTTTTCCAAAAATAACACTTTTCTGGTATGTGTTTTTCCTTTTTTTGTCGGATTATTTTTATTTTTAGGTGGCTTTTTATCAACAGCCGATTTTAAATCAGTGCAACTTGTGTAAGTGTAAACTACTTTATCTCCATTGTCGCATTTTACAGACTCTGTTTTTTTTGCCAAACCCCTTGAAGTGCCCACAACTTTTAATTTTAATTTTGATTCGGTTTTAATAATGGTTTTTGCGTCTTTTGTTTTTATTGTTTTAACAGACGGCTTTTTTATTTTACCATTTGTATCGGTATCTGTATCGGTATCGGTATTGGTATTGGTGTCTGTATCGGTATTGGTATCGGTATCGGTTTTTGTATTTGTGTTCGTACTCACCTGTCTTCTTGTTGACATGAGTCTTGGACAGATTAGATTTGTTATAAGACTATACTAATAACAAATTATTAAAGAATTTAGAAATTCAGTTTTTACGACTGTTTATCAGTATTGTTTTGCTTATTTATGCTCTTTTAAAAAAAACAAAAACTAAAAAAAAAGTCGTATGGTGTTGGTAAACAGTATTATGTTATATTAAAAAAAATAAATAGTATGTCATTCTGCCCTATTTTTATTTGACTTGCCGCATATCATATCATATCATATCATATTATATTGACGTTATAACACCCGGTATCAGGTAAAGTCGCGTAATTTTAATTTGTTGTAATTGGTAAGATAAATAAGACAAATTCATCTTCATAAAATAGTTTTATTTCTAATCGTCCCGTACTCAAGATTTGCAATCTTAATTCCCTGAAAATAAAAAAAGTTTTTTGGATCTAATACAAGATCTTTAAAATCGTCTATTTTAATAATTTCTGACATGTTATTTTGCGATTCGGTGTCAATATCAATGTCTATATCTAAAAAGTGAAACTTTGATAGTTTGTCGGAAAAATACATGTTAATAATTTCGTCAAGATGTGTTGAAACATTTGGTTCAATTTTGACTAGTGCTACACTTATGTTGTTTAATGTTTTTGTTCCGTACACATAAAAAATAACACCTCTTGTAATAATAAGACGGTCTATTTCAAGCAAAGACATATTTGAATACACGACATTACGTAGTGTTTGTATTTTAAGATTTGAAGATACAAAATTCGAGTTTATATAAAGACTTGTATCTTGTTCATTAATCACTTTAATGCTATTGTCGTTAAGTAATAGTTGAGAATACTCTATTGTTTGGTAAAAATGGTCATTAATATGCATCATGTCATTACCAGTATATTTTATTTGATTAACATTTGAGTGTTTTATGGCGGTTTCTCGCAATAATTGCTTAAACGATGCACCTCCACCTGATATTCTTCTATGTTGAGTGTTGTCAAAAAGAATAATACACACATGATTATTGTTGTCGGTTGTATTCATATATCGAATTTTATCATTAATAAGCCGTAATACAGAGTCGGTACTAATATCGTCATAATACCAGTATAATAAATTTCTTAGGCCGTTTTTAGTTAAACTGATAGTTTTTACATAATATACTTCCCCTTCTTTTTCTAGTAGTTCAATAATCTTATTTACTGACGGCAAAGCCGGACTCCATAATGTTATCGCAAATGTGTTTTTTCTGCATTTGATATACTGAAGGGCGATACTATCTCTGTCAGCAGGCTCGATCGTGTCAACTAAATTTAGTTTCAGCCTATTTTCAAATGCGTTTATTAAATGCGACGATGTTTTTGTTAAAAGTTTTTTATAATAGCTAGAATCGGAATGATATTCAGCCAACTTTATTAATGGGGATAAATAATCATACTCTTTAATGTCGTCGAACATTTGGGCAACTTTAAAAGGTTGGTGTCTCATATTTTTTGAAATATGGAAGTATTGAAGTTGGTGTTGTTTAATTAGTTTACAGTCTATTTCATATAGTTTACAAACCGAGTTTAATGAAGGGTCTGACTCTTTTTTGAATTTTATCTTTTTTTTATTAAAATCGAATCCACCCCTTTGTTGAATTAATATGTCATGTTCTTTAAACATAAAATGTTCTGATAAAACAGGTCCAATGCTTTTTTTGAGCTGTTCGTATTCAAAATCATCGTCAAAAAAAGAATCTTTAGTTCCAATATTGTCCCGATCAAATATTTTTATGACATCATATTGATCTTGTTTTTTATTTTTAACACACGATTCGTCTAAATTTAGGATATTTTCTTCTAAAGTAATGATTTTATCATAAACAACTGTTAGTAATTTTTCAATATCAGGTCTCGTTTCCAAGATATGTTTGTCTAATCTACATGCAATGTCTGCTGTCGGATACATATAACGTAATTTTTGCGCTTTAATTAGCAAATCAACTATTTCCCCATATGTGAACACTTTGTGTTGTGTCGTGTTTTTATTTCCCGATCCTTGTTGTTTATTAAATATATTAAGTTTGTTGGCCAGACTATTAGTGTTGTTATTTTTTGTGTTTTTATGAAAATCAACCACTATTAAGTCCCTCATTTTATTTTAGTAAATATATTATACGTACCATATTTTTATTTTAGTTTATGTATCTTCTTCGGACAAGTTTTATCGGTATTTTTCTTCTTTTTGTGGTGTTTTTTTCGCAATTATTATGACTAGGTATTTCGAGTTGTTCGTCACTTAACACAATATCACTTTTTGATTTTGACGTGTTGTTAGTTTGGGTCATAATATTTTCTGACAATTTTACATAAGATGTTTGACTGTTGTCACTCGAGTCCATTAATCGTATGACTGTCTGATTTTTTTTTGGAAATATTTCTTCGGTTCGGTCATCAGTTTTAAGACAGGGTCTAATAAAAATGTCGTTTTGAACCGGATTATTTAAATTATCTAAATCAATTAGATTAGGTTTATGCAAAAGACAATGATCAATGTCTTCCGATTTAGTTTTATTGACAACATTGTCGCTAAAAGCAATTGATATTATCGGATCAAAGTTTTCGATTCCTTCTAATAATCCTGTGACAGTTTCAAAAAAAGCGCATAGGGGGCGCAATATTAGTATACTAATTTTGTTGTGAACAAATTTTGAAAAAATTAGTTTGGATATAATGTTATAAATCCCCACGCCTATATTTCTAGCTCTTTCTCTCATATGCACTCTGTCTATGTAGCTCATACATACCCAAAAAAATAAACCTGATATACTGAGACTAATTTCATAAAGACTTAAATATGTGTAAAATAGGTTGCTTAATATGTCAATCATGGATTATTTTATTATACTATGATAAAACAAAAACTGTTAAACAAACCACAATCATTTATTATCATATAACTTTTTTTATTTAAAATTTTTGTTTATTCTTAATTATAAACATAATTAAATACGTTGTGCCGTGTTATTTATATCCCAAAAATTTACAATAAGACAATAATGGGTAAGGTAAGGTAAACAGGTTTGGCCACATAGTTTACGCAAACCTTGTTGTAATATTTTTACACTAACAAAAACCGCTAAAACGATTTATGTAAATGTAAAGCCGTTAAAATAATTTACATAAATCTTACTGAAACAATTTACACATATATTGTCAATATATTTTACATAAATCTTATTGAAACTGTTTACACAACCTTGCCGAAACAATTTACATAAATATTGCCAATATATTTTACATAAATCCCATTGAAATTAATTACACAAATCTTATTGAAACAAACTACACAAATCTTGTTGAAACAAATTACATAAATCTTTTTAAACCGAATTACGCAAATATTGTCGATATATTATACATAAATTTTGTTGAAACAATTTACGCAATTCTTGATGAAACAATTTACGTAATTCTTGATGAAACAATTTACGTAATTCTTGATGAAACAATTTACATAATTCTTGATGAAACAAATTACACAGATCTTATTAAAACAATTTACAAAATTCTTGTTGAAACAATTTACATAATTCTTGATGAAACAAATTACACAGATCTTATTAAAACAATTTACAAAATTCTTGTTGAAACAATTTACGTAATTCTTGATGAAACAATTTACATAATTCTTGATGAAACAATTTACATAATTCTTGATGAAACAATTTACGTAATTCTTGATGAAACAATTTACATAATTTTAACTGGAACATTTTACACAGATCTTATTAAAACAATTTACAAAATTCTTGTTGAAACAATTTACGTAATTCTTGATGAAACAATTTACATAATTCTTGATGAAACAATTTACATAATTCTTGATGAAACAATTTACGTAATTCTTGATGAAACAATTTACATAATTTTAACTGGAACATTTTACACAGATCTTATTAAAACAATTTACAAAATTCTTGTTAAAACAATTTACATAATTTTAACTGGAACATTTTACACAGATCTTATTAAAACAATTTACAAA